TGCGATAGTATCAGTAAAGAGGCCACAATAAACCAGACCACAATTATTGAAATTTCATCAAATTGCGTCATTGAGACAAAGAAAAATATTTTGACACCGAGAAGATCGTAATCTGTAACTGTTTTAGGATCTTTCGTCCGCCCAGTAAAATTAAGTTTGGAAACAGTTCAGCCTACCAAGGAAATCACCATGATTCCCTACGAAGAACAAGTTATTGATGCATCCGATCAACTGTCTCATTTTCAGAGTGAAAAACAACACATCGATCAACAAGTACAAGACTTCAACTGGACTCAAGTACACCATCATCTAATTATTAGTAGCTCCATAGTACTTACCTACTACTAATACTATGAGTAACTGCAATGCTTCTAATATGGTTGTATTTGCAAAGAAATAAATCCAGTAGAGACAATACTCACACACCAGGACAAGCCTTGGCTGACCAAACGTTAGACCCGTTATTCAGTAACACCAACTCCAAATCCACGCAATGAGAAGCCGAGGTCCCAGAAGCCTAGGACTAATCACAGATTAGCCATTTTTGTCCAGAACCGAGTGGCCAGAATCAGAGGCGCCGACTTTTGAAAGTTTTCATGGGTGCAGGATAATAACTTTATAAGGAGAAGGGGGAACCTCGCCGCAAGCTAAATAAATTTTCAGGATGCCACGCCCAAAAACGTTTATTTCATAGTGTTTCAGATTGCTAAATTCGAGCAACACTATAGAGAAACCCTCGTTCCATTTTTGTATTCGATTTTACCCCCCCCCCCCCCCTCCCCCCTCCACCGTATGCCTGGATATGTAGTATAAATTTTAAACAAACATTTAATCATGTATTTATTTTTATTTATACAGGGTGTCCCACCAGGAACCAAATCGATCTATGTATAAAAAACTGTATGCAGAAATTTTGGAAAATTTGACAGTATACTAATGTCAACAGAGGCAACCCAGCTAAAATATTTTCCAAATGGTGGCACTTCCGGTTATACCGGAAGTAGATGCCAGCTTGCTTATTTCAAATAAGACACCCTGTATGTGATTGCATATTTGGATTCTACGTAAAATTCTGAGCAGATTTCATTAATTTCATATGAAATACCCTATACCTAAGCTCAACTGTTTTGTAAGCTAAAAATTGCAACTTTGACAGGCTGTAATACCTAAACGGTTAATTTTAGAGAAAAACCGATTTTATATTCCCATCTAAGATTTTCATTAACTCCAGCTTTGAGTTTAATCCATGATTAAAAATTCCAATGAAATTTAATCTCCGGTTAAGGTATAGGGTATATCACATAAAATCTACTCAGAATTTTACGTTGAATCTAAATATGCAATCACATATACGGTGTCTCATTCAAAATGAGCAAGTTGGCTCTTTGACGTCTACTTCCGGTATAACCGGAAGAGCCACCATCTTGAAAATATTTTAGCCAGGTTGCCCCCAATGACATTAGTATACTGTCAAATTTCCACGTATTTTCTGCATACAGTTTTCTATAATAGATCGATTTGGTTCCCGATTCAATACCCTGTATAAATACAGTACAGTCGAAGAAATAGGTGGGTACAAGTACCTACTTAGCTTAATACCAATTATCAATGCCAATAACAAAAATAAAAATAAAACACAAATTGGGTAGGTAGGTACTTCTTCATAATAACATTAAACATAGAAGTATTCTAATAAAATGCCTTGGTCTCGTCGATACCTCATACAATTCAGTCAATAAAAGAAGTTGAAGACATTTTTGGTACCTACCTACTCATAAAATTCATATAGAGAATAGCAACATGAAGCAATAGAGCATAGAACTACCACTTGTATAATTCTTATACAAAGTTGTATATGGTATGATACTGACACTACCACACGGAACGGAATGACCATTACACATGTTTGTACGCATTCCCCACGAGAGCTCCCATGGGTGCTCTGCACCCATGAGAAGTTGCTCATGGGTGCACCTGCCTCAATGCCCCTATGTAGTCGGCGCCAGTGGCCAGAATGTCTAATTACAAATTAGCCATGTTTTCTTCCAAATTTAAAACTTATTATCTTGTAATAAATACAGGGTGTTAATAAATAGTGGGATCAAACTTCTAGGATAAATAGTACTCATTAAAATAAGAAAAAAGTTAATAGAAACATGGGTCCACGAATGCTTAGTTTTCAAGATACAGGGTGAAAAAAAAATCCGTTTTTTAGCTCAAAAATCCCTTTTCCAATTTTCTTTTTCAAATTTGGCAGGTTTGTTTTTGATAACAAAAGGTATCTTTCTAGTTTTGACTGTAATATGACTTAATCTGCAAAAATATCAAAGTTATAAAGAAAAGTGACATGCCATTTTTTTCTACTTTTACTAACGAGTTGTCCTCTGGGGCGCCACTGGGATAATTACGGTAAATCTAATTGAATTAAAAGATACCTTTTGTTATTATTACCTACAAACAAATTTGCCAAGTTCAAAGAAATTCGGGAAACGGATTTTAAAAAACTGATTTTTTCAAACTTTGACACCCTGTATCTCGAAAACTAAGCATTTGCGGACCTATGTTTCTATCAACTTTTTTCTTATTTTAATGAGTACTATTTATCCTAGAAGTTTGATCCCACAATTTATTAACACCCATTAATTATTTTCTATTTACCAAGCTAGCCAAGCATTTTTAAAGTCATCGACATTACGAACAGTGGGCCAGTAAAACATGTCAGCACTTTAGTTAGGTAATTTATTAGTTGATTACCTCTGAAAATATTGCTTTTATTTGTGTATAAATAGTGTTACCGTTCCTTAAATAAATTAGTATTAAAAACCATCAGTCGTTTGTACTCAATCACACCCACAGTAAACTGCTCACTACAGAGTGTTACTAAGCACCTTATCAAGTATTCGACAACAAAGAAGAATTAGGTGCTCAGAGTGTAATCAGTCATTCCTTGCCACCTTTTTTAGTTACAAGACTTCTCACATCAAGAGAACGATTGTACACATTGAAAGATACAAAAATTCAAAAGCCGAAAATAGACAAAAATTGAGAAATGAAAAGTGGAAATTAGGAAAAAATGTAAAAAAAAAACATAAATTTTCTATTCCAGGCCCTTGAATGTTTATTATTATTCTTAACCTAGAATTCTTAGAATGGAAAAATGAAAGAATAGTATATTGTGTATTTAGGTGGAAAAGTGACACATTCTTGGCCGACGGTGTAAGTTGACGGGCGAGGCGTAGTCGAGGTCGGCAAACACCGAAGGCCGAGAATGTGCTTTTTCACCGAAATACACATACTATTTTTTCTGCGATCGGTTAAATACCTGTTAAATGTTGGTCTTTTGGTTCCAAATATTCAGCAGTACGAGAATCACTTTCCCGGGCTAGGCCGGAAAAGTGTTCCCATTGTTATTCATTAGTACAAGCGGTACACTCAAAATATTGAGAGAAAGTAACTTTTCTTGCAGAAAGCATGCCATCTCGCATATAGATTTTATAGGTCCATAAAGTCGATTTGACCCGAAGCACACTGACCTTTGACCTTGTGGATTCAAAATGGCGGCCTTTTAATAAATAAATAGAAATAAATAGAAAATAAGAATGAAATGTTCCAATTGTGCCGAATTTGGTGTTGTTTTCGTATGAAACAAGCACTCTAAAACGAATGGAAGAATAAAGAATGGTGTATGTTTTGTCCTTTGAGCCCTACGGTTAAAATAATGTAAAAAAAAACATTTTGGTGCCGAATAAGTAGGTACTATTATTACCATATTACCAATAATTCTCAATCCTCATATAATTATGTATTTTTTTAAATGTGGCACCATTGCCGGAAATTTGACACCATTGTATCATGGAAATGCGCACACGCACAGGAACAACACTGTCTGCAGCGAGTGCCCCACCCCAGTGTGCGTATTTGGCGGATAGTTTTCGTGGACATTGTTTATTTCGGTTTTTTTTTTCGTGGATATTTTTGCGTTCGAGTTAGTTAATGTGTTTTTGTGCTTTTCTGGAGTAAATATTATCACACTTTTGAAAAGATTTACTAATTTTTTTTTGGAAAACTTTCCTTTATCATTTCTTTACATAATATTTTTTAACGATGAAGAAAAATAAGGGTCTACTAGTACAAGCAGCATCCGTCTCGTTAGGAGATATACCAGCAAGGATCGATTGGGAAAAATGTTGTCTTTGTCAGACTGGTGACGGCAAATTGATATGTCCTGCCCTAAATCCAGTTAAGGTCAGAATAAATAAAGGTTATGTATCGGTAGCTGCCAATTTTGAGGAACTTAAAAAATTTGATTTTACTTTTCCGTCTGGACAAAAAGTATCAAATTTTGATCTCGACAATGCAACTTTTATCGAAAAGAAAGCCAAGTGGCACAAAAACTGCATAGTTAAGTATTCATCAGCCAGGTTTGAAAATCTTATAAGGAGTCTATCAAAAAAAGAATCTGAGGATTTGCTCGGTAGTAAAGTTGATGAAATGACGCCTCAACAGCCATCGACATCTAGAGCGAGTCGAGTCGCTTCAAAACCGATAAAGCCAAAAGAGCAAATTTGCTTTATATGCAAAACTGAAGGTACCCGTAAAGAAGCCCTCCATTGCTGTGCTACTAAAGAAATCCACGATACAATTAAGAGTTATGCAGATATATTAGGAGATACTGAGTTATTAGCCCTCCTAATTGTCGAAGGAGATCTTGTAGCTAGAGAAGCTAAATATCATCGCTTGTGTTTATCCAGGCTATATACTAAAGCTCGAAAAGCATCATCTTAAAATGCAGAAAAGGTGGATGATGAGTTGGTTTGCGAGGGACTAGCATTTGCTGATCTTTTATTGTTTATGCAAAAAGAACTAGACAGACTTGAAAAAAAATGTGTGTTTAGATTAGGTCAATTAAGAAATCAGTATAAATCTAGAATAACCCAACTACTAGGAAGATTACCAACAAGTGACGTCGCTCGTCAAACGCAGAGGTTTCGCCAAAAAAACTGGATCAGTTTCCCAGTTTAAAGGAACACAAATGTGGCAGAGAGTACATTCTTATCCCGAATGAGTCAAACGTGCTCAATAACATTAGTGAATCAGATAGCGAAGGGGACGCCCTAGGGTTTAATCGCTTTATTAACAATGTGAGAAGTTCTGTTTTTTCTTCAAATGTGGCATTCAGAGGAGAGTTTGAAGAAAACTGTGAAGAAAAGGCCATCCCTTCTTCATTACTTGCCACAATTAATATGTTATTGTATGGCTCAGCTGTGCATACTGAGTGTCGCGCCTCAAAACCTGGCGTGACAATATGCCAATTAATTATGTTCAACATGCTTCAAGCCTTACCCAAAGGAAATATAATCAGACATAAAAAAAAGCTTGAACCACCATTACCAATTTATCTTGGACTCTCGATATATGCACGCAGTCGCAATAAGCAACAGATAGATGAACTTCATAATTTGGGAATTTCTATATCTTCTAATCGAGTCATGGAGATCACAGCTCAGTTTTCTCATGTGGTAGTTGGTAGAGCCGAAGAAGAAGGAGTGGTTTGCCCTTCCTCGTTGAAGAAAGGATTATTTACTGTCGCCGCCATCGATAATATTGACCACAATCCTTCTGGTACGACCAGCGCAGGCTCATTCCATGGTACAGGAATATCTGTTTTTCAGTTACCTCTCAAAGAAGAAGAAGCAACTATCAGAAATTTTCAAATCTCATTTGAAGATTTAGCGAACAACTTACGTAGTGTGCCTAACTTGCCAGATTCTTTCGCTGTAGTTCCTGATTACATTTTTCACAATAAGCAACCAGCTCCTTCATCCTGTTCAGAGGATATCGCCCAAAGAATGAGAGCCTCAGGTAAGATTTCTAGTTTTCACTTCTTAGTGTTTATTATTATTTTTTTTTTAGTGAATGTCATGAGCATGTGGCATCTGGGGAGTGATTGGCTCAGTCACATTCATGTGCAAATGAACGAACTATGTGAAAAGATGCCGCAAAATATATCATGGTCATCCTTTCGCTCTAACGAAGTCAAATACAATGTTACAATACTGAAATCCATCAGCACATTGCTGCCGCTGTTCTATGAGAAATCTACGTCTCCGGCTATGATAAGACATGGTATGGAAATAGTGCATCGCATCACAGAGCTTCTTAATGGACAGAACCAACCAGCAGTTCTATGTGCAGATCAGCCATTTTATGCAATAATTAAAACAATTCAATGGAACTGTCCACTATTATTTGGAGAGAATAAATTTGTTGCAATGTTTGGGCCATTACACATAGAACAAAATTTTTTAAAGTTATTAGGCGGATTGCTGAATGGCTCAAGATGGGTTGAGTTACTCTCTAACTCTGGTATTATAAGTGCTGGATCTGCAGAAGCCGTCCTAAAGGTAACTTAATTCATGTTTTCTTAAATTCAAATCACTGTAAGAACTTATCATTATTTTCAATATTTTGATTTTGCTGGGCTGCGTTCAGGATTAGCTACAGCCAAGCCAAAATTGGCATTTTGCGTTCGAGTTCGGCTCCAAACTACGTGGTTCAGCATTACCGTTGGAGGGGGAAAAGTAGGTTTTGGCATTAGCATTGCCGTCCTTGAACGCACCCCAGGTAACCCATATTACTAAAGCTCGTTTACATCATCAGTATACAGTGGCTGTCCTTTTCTCGCTACTTCAAGATGCATATAGGGATGATAATCCAAATGAAGAACAACCTTTTGGTGATTGGGTAAACCTGATATCACCAAAATCACCAACATTTCAATACTGGTTACTCGTGATGAACTTACAAATACTTCTTCTTTCTTTTTTGACAGCTTTGCGCTTGGGAAATTTCACAGAGTACACAGAGTCTTTACTGCGGATGATTCCTTGGTTTTTTGCTTTTAGTCATTCAAATTACGCACGTTGGATATCAGTGCACGTTAAAGATCTCTTGGAACTGGAAACAAAATTACCCAATGTCTACCGCGAGTTCATGCTTGGTATGTCAGCCACTCAATAACATGTGCTTCATATTTCTGACGTCCTTTACGTTTTAGGTAACTTTGTTGTCCATAAGTCGGGCTGCATCTTCTCTGCTGTTGGTATAGATCAAGCCCACGAACAAAATAATGCTTTAATTAAAGCTGATGGTGGAGCTGTTGGTCTCCTCCACGATGCCACTGCTCTTAAACGATGGATGATTGCAGGACCCGAGATTAGTGGCCTACTTTCTCAATTCCAAGAAAACATCGCTGGGGTTGATAAAAAAGGCACACATCATCATGAACAATACTCTGCCTTCCAAAAATCCTTTTATGAAAAATGCCTTGCCCTCAAAGAAAGCTTTATTCAAGCAGAAAATCCTTTTAAAATAAGAAGTGAAGACCTGATAGCCCTAGATACTAGAATGGTGGCTGACGAAGAAGGTGTTGCGGCTCTTCATGGAGCTGAGACAATAGGAAATGACTTATTTCATGAATTTATTGACAGACTCGTATTAGCACCAACCTCGTTATATTCTCCAATCAAGAAAAGCAATGTAAAAATTTTCTGTTTTAAAAAAAAGAAACTGGTGCGAGTGGCACCAAACCAACAGCTTAAATCTGATGCTCAACTGTTCTCCCGGCTGTTTATTGTAAGTTCTTCTCGCCGTTTAGACTTGGATAAATTTTTTGAACATGAAAATCAGTCATTTCCGCCCGCAATATCAGTTTCTGGAGAACTTCGCACTGGATCCAAGAGTACACTTGTCTCAATTTTAGAAAACCTTTGCCGGGAAATTCAACAACCACAGCCAACCAGTTGTGACGCAGTTGTGTACGATGGCGCAGCTTTAGTACATTTTCTGAAACCTTCCCGTACAATCAAACTATTCTCTGAATATCGAGCTCAAGTTAAATCTCATATAGAAGTATTTTGTAAGAATCTCAAAGCAGAGCGTGTTGACATAGCCTGGGATTTATATAGAGACGATAGCATCAAGACCACAGCACGACAGTCGAGAGGTACTGGAGCTCGACGTCAGGACCTGCCCAACAAAGGTAGACATTTTTAATGTCCACACTTCTTTGTACATTTTGAAACTCATCTATTTCTTTCAGGAGAGCTTCCGAAAAAATGGGACGAGTACCTTAAAAACTCATCAAACAAAGTCGAGCTTTTCGAATACCTAGCAAAAGGATGTCTCGCAGAAATAGAGGAGCTTAATGTTGTCACTAATGTTGGAGTCACACTTCGTGCATCGGTTCCAGCTTCATCTTCCCTCAACGAAGCTTTGTGCGATCAAATTGAAGAAGCTGATGGACGAGTTATACTACATTTGGCTGACATGGTACAACATGGGACACAAAATATTGTGGTTCGCTGCTCCGATACTGATATCCTTGTACTGGCAGTATCTTTTTTTTTCAAATTGCAGTCACAAGGTCTTGAACAGTTATGGATTTTATTTGGATGTGGTAAATTAAGGCGCTATATACCCGCTCACTCAATTGCCTTGACACTGGGAGAAAAGAAAGCTACTGCCCTTCGAGGATTTCATGCATTTAGTGGGTGTGACACGATATCTTTCTTCAGCTCCCGAAGCAAAACAAAAGCTTGGAATGCATGGAAAGACGATGAAGCTACCGATGCATTCCTTTCCATTTCAGAACCTGGCCCTTTTCCAGAAGCGAACGTTGTTCAGGACTTGAACAGATATACCGTGAAGCTTTATGGAGTAACAGAGGGCGGTATAAGCGTGAATCAGGCTCGAAAGTTACTATTCGCAACCCAAAATAGGCCTGTTAACCTAATACCTCCTACAGAATCTGCAGTAAAGGAACACATATTAAGAGCCGCCTACCAAGCAGGCCAAATCTGGGGTAGGGCAGACAAATTGGAAGGACCTCCATTACCCCTTCACTGGGGATGGGCTCGTTGTGACACCGGCTGGAGGCCTGTCTGGTCTTCCATTGAAGAAATTTGGCCAGCTTGTCGTGCTTTAGATAGGTGTGGATGCGCCTCTGATTGCAACACAATGCGCTGCCTCTGCATTAGGGGGTCTTTGACCTGTACTCCTAATTGCAAAAAATGCAAAGGAGAATGCAGCAATAAAAGGTGAGATAAGACACACATTTTCTTGTCTAGCTTATTGATTTTACTTTTCGATTTTATTCAATCTCATAATTATTTTTAGCACCAGGTACTCAGAACTTGACGATGAGCGTGCAGTAGAAATATAAAACATGTGTGCCTGAATCAAATAGTTTGAACTTTTAATTTTATATATTTAATATTTTTTTATGTAATTTAATATTGTATAATAAAAATAAAGTCCTTATTTCATTTGTGCTTGTTGAATCCCAGTCCAAATTAAATTTTTGGAGAATATTGTTATTTTATTTATTTTATTTATTTTATTTATTTTATTTATTTTATTTATTTTATTTATTTTATTTATTTTATTTATTTTATTTATTTTATTTATTTTATTTATTTTATTTATTTTATTTATTTTATTTATTTTATTTATTTTATTTATTTTATTTATTTTATAAATTGGATAATTTAAAAATTGAATTTTATAAGCAGACACGAATTTTACATGGTTGTCGGCAAAGGGGTTGCATTAGGATCAAAATTACCCCCTTTTATAGCTGTGGGGCTGAAACTAGCAATCTTGCGACATTTTTCATTTCAAGGTTGATGTCGGTGACCTCTTTTTGTATGGAAACGACACCAAACTCGGCACAATTGAAATATTTTATTTTTATTTTTTATTCATTCCTATTTATTTATTTAAAGCCGCCATTTTGAACCCACATGGTCGGAAGTCGGTGTGCTTCGGGTCAAATCAATTCTTTGAAGCTCTGCACTAGACCTGCAGAGCGGCATGCTTTCTGCAAGAAAAGTTACTTTTTTTTGCGTACCGCTTGTACTACATTGATTCCTTAGCAACTATTGAAACATAATTAAAATACCAGAATATTGAGCTTTGCGACCTGTCAACCAGTCAAACATGCTGACATTTCTTGTCAATCACAATAAAAATTTTTAAGAAAAATTGGTACCTATACAAGCACCAACAAAAACAAGAGCCGAAAATAGACAAAAATTGAGTACCTAATGAATGATTTAAAAATCATTTAACTTAATAATAACAAAAGGCTGATTTTCATTTTAATGAGACTATTTAACATTCGATACTCGATATTAGATAACTACTTGACCATTATTGGACAACGATCTCTACCATTAAACATTGCCCATCGGTTTCAATTTGCGAATTTACTGATAATTAATTCATTTAACGATAATTAATTCATTTAACGTTAATTTAGTCAAAGAACGCGAGATTTACCCGGTGACAGCATCAAATAATTATTGACGGAAGGCCATTGTTCGCTTCCAATTAGCAATCGCAATTAGCTTGTGTAAATTAGTGAAAAATTGTCGAATCAAAAATTGGGCCGTTGCACTCGATCCTTATGGAGAAATCAATTAGCTTGCCAGATTGAAGGATAATTTATCCAAACATTACAGCACTAGAGATTAATTAGTTCGGACAAGATGGAAATTGGATAATACACAACAAATATAAAATTTACATGGTATACGATAACACAAAGCAAATGCACGATAAACTCGATCCTTTTTACACAGAGTGGTTGATGTTTGTCCCTTTGTATTTGCATGCTTTAGTTGTGATATCCGAAGCTTAGAAATACGAGATTTAGTTTGCATTTACTTAATGTTGGATGGAAGTAAATAGATCTACATTCACAATGTTCTTTTGTTGTTAGTTTTAACAAAACAAGAGTATTTGAAAGAAGTGAGAGTTGATAATATCACAGAAAAATCAGTAAAGTTGTAATTTAATTTACGTGAAATAACTAAATTAGCTAAGAAGTAAATGAATATTAAAATCCATGATCCTATTTAATTAAATGTAAAGCCATTTTGATACACCATTTTAATTTACCTAATTGTTGTAGGTATTGTTAGGTAAGCTATTAGAACTATTTAGCTGGTTGGGGGCAAAACACCACATTAATTACGAATTGAACGATTCCGGCATTATCAAAATACCATTTGTTGTTATTCAATACGTTTCACTTTGATTATATAAATACCTAAATTCCCGATTGAACTATTCTGACGGCGATCCGTTGATGAACAAAACTATTCGCCGGCTAAATTGGAAAATCGGTTTTTATCCTGTTCATGGTAAGCTATATTTAATTGAATTTTCCGTTAACATTACCCTGGTTCGAGTAAAATCAAATTAATTTCCTGTGCGGGACAAATATCCCGGTACTTATTGCCTAAATTTCGAAGCGTGTTTTTGTTATAATATTTGGTTGATTCGCCAAAATGATGCTGTTGTGGGACGCCACAGGAAAACCACTGTAAATGAAAATGGTGAGAAGCTTGAGTTATGTTATAAAACCCTATATTATTATTATAAAAATAATTCCCCTTTTCAATGTTAAATATAAGCATACGCCACTGTAAAAGCCGACATATTATAAAGCTGCTGAGTGAGGGATAATCAGCTTGGAAAAGTACCGTCATATCAAGGTTTCACCCACTCAGTTGCACCGTCAGCAGTATTTTAATATAAATACGGCGCGCAGAGCCTTCTGTCTCATTCTCTTGTTTTTAGCTTAGACTGTAGCAATTCGAATCAAAGACTCTTTTGTTCTCGGCTTTTCCCGCACCAATTTAGAGTCTTGTATTTTTTGTTGTAACTTCTAAGTTTTCAATAAAATAAATAATTTTTAAAAACAAGATTTACTGCGACTCGCTCAAAAACTCTCGACAATCCAAGAATATAGCGCAGCAAACAATTTGTACGAGGAGATCAAAACATGTGTATGTATATGTTACAGGAAATATCCGATTTCAGGCCTAGGATGTACTAAAAGTTCCTAGCGTTGTTAGGAACTTCGCATATTTCTCAGGACGTACTAGTATTACCTGATAGTTTTCAGGACAAACTAGAAAGGCCCAATCAGTGTTAGGAAAAATCCGATGCAAATTGTTTGAGTGAAAGAATTTGCATCTAGAAGTTTCGATAATCAGTAATTTCATGGTTGATTGTTGTACTAGCTTCATAATCGTGCCGCCATACCTTGAGTTGTTTCAAACCTTAAATTTTTCAAACCAAACATATGGGTGCAGGAACCTTTAAAAGGTCTGTTCTCACAGAAATCACGAACAACTCAGAGTGTTTTTGATTGGTCTAAATCGCGAACAACCAGTTTTCTAATTATTTTCAATCAATGAAATTCGCTCTGACTGGTTTGTGACTTCTGTGAGAACAGAACCCCATTCTTCAGCTTCTCCTGAACAAACATACCGTACTGTAATCTGTACTTGATGGTAGGTACGTAAGCAATGCTGTCGTGCAGCTGCGCTTGTCGGTGATATGGATGCCAAATTAACTTTACTTTTTGTTAATAACTCCCTAAAATACTGGTATCAATATTTATCTAATGCAACTTCTGTTAATGGACAATCTCCCGTCAGTGAGAGGGAAACAGTATCTAGTTGCTTAGAACTAAGGCCTCAGCTCCAGATAGATCGGAAGGGAAAGTTTAGACAACCTAAACTTGAAAGCAAATTTAAAAAAAAAAATCTAATATCGAGAGCAATATAGGAAAAGTTAGAGCTCTAGCTTCATTAAAAAAACAGGCGAAGCGCACAGTCGTAATATCAGATGTAGACAAGGCCAGGGGAAGTTTACGAAAGGTTATGGCTATAGTCACAAATGTTACTGATGATAATTTATACAAACTAGGTACTAAGGATGTTTAAAACTACTTTATACCCGCTCTGAATTTCACCTATGTAAAGAAAGTGACATGTTTCTGGTCTTCTAGATGCAAATTTTCCCAATGAAACAATTTAGATCGGATATTTCCTAACACTAATCCTAGTATGTCTTAGGGAAAAATTGATCCATGATAATAAAGACTTGTTTGAAAGTGTTGGAGAAATAAAAAATGTTAGTTACAAAATAAAAATTAAACCAGATTCACAGCCAGTAGTTGAAGCAAAAAGAAAAATATCATTTGGGAATACAAGATAAACCTAAGGAAGAACTAGACAAAATGGAGAAAATGGACATCATTAAAAAAGTCAGTCAACCTACAGAATGGGTGAATTCAATTGTAGTAGTAAAAAAACCTGATAATTCTTTAAGAATACGTTTAGATCCCCAAAATCTGAATAGAAATATTATTCGTGAACGATATGATTTACCAACTTTTGAACAAGTGGTATCAAAGATGGGAAGACCTGAAATATTTACAACCCTTGATGCGAATAAAGGATTCTACCAAATTA